TTCAAGTAAAATTTTGCATCTGCAAAGTACGACTCTGCTTCGATGAATGGAATTTCATCAGCGACCACCTTTTCTATCATACCGCCTTTTGCAAACATGAGGCATTGGTGCCAGGATGAGGGGACCACTCCGTTCTCATGTATCCAAGGTCGGCCTAACAACAAGTTGTAAGACGTCCTTGCATCTATCGTATAACATATTGTACTTGAGTTCAACGTTCCGACCCTGAGATCAAGTTTGATGGTACCTAGTGCCCTTTGCCCACCTTGATTAAAACCTTGAATCATTAGGCGGCTTTGAGAGAGCTCGTCGGTAGAGATGCCAAGTTCTTTCATAGCTCGGAGTGATAGAATGTTCATAGCCGATCCTTGATCAATCAAAATCCTTTTGATTCTTTGCTCGCGGGCATAGCTTTCTATAAACAATGGACGATTATGTGGTGTACCGCTAAGCAATAGATCTTCATCTTTGAAAATTATCTCTGTAGTGTAAGACACGGCTTTGCGAGTGTAGAACTCGTTGCTTCCTTTAATCAAGGGGAATGAAGATTCTCCCACTTCAACATGTTCTTCATTGGTATTCAAGCAAGTTCCAAGAATGTCTGTTCTACCCAGGCGAAACCCCTTTGGCATGTATTGAGCTAGGGTAACTGGTGCCTATGGCTTGTTGGGAAGTCCTTTCTTCTTCGAGTCATGGACGGGGTCCCTTACCGACTTCTTCTCAACCCATTGCCTTGCCATTTTCTTTAATGGTCTAATATGACTAGCAGGATCAACTTGTGATGGTTTTAAGTACTGCATGTTAGCATGCTTTACTCTAAATGAAAGTGTGTATTTATGTTGCTTGCCCCCATTCTTCTCTTCATCTTCCATAAGTAATGGAGCAAACCTTCCACATGAAACTTGGTTTGTGCTTGCGCTAGCATCCGCAAGCTCTATCTTCCCATTTCGAGCAAGCTCCATGACTCTATCATTAAAAACGAAGCACTTTTCAATTGGGTGGCCGAGGAAACGATGATATTTGCAATAGTTGAGGTCATCCACCCTAGAAGCTTCTTCGAGGCGCTTCATCTCAGGCAATTCAATTAATTTGAGTTTCAGCAACTCGTCAAACATAGGAGAAACGTCAGAATCCAAGAATGGATATTGTTTCTCTTGCCACTCTTCAACAATTATTTTTCTAGCTCCCCTTGATGGGCCGGGGAATGATCTCGGCATGGGCTTCTCATCCACTTTGGTGAAAACCCGCATTGGTCCTGTCATCACGTTCATCGTCTCTTTCTTCTCTTGCTTTGGAAATAACTTACTCCATTTGTTGACATCTTGGTTTGTAGGTGCCTTTGATGAGCTGGGCATACTTGACATGCTTAGTCCTCCATTGGCTTCAATATTCAATTCCATGTCATGAGCACGATTGGATAGTTCTTCAAATGTCCTGGGCTTGATTCCCTGCAAGATGTAAGAGAGCTCAAAGTGCATGCCTTGGATACATATTTCAATTGCGGAGCTTTGGGATATCCTCTCTTTACAGTTGAGACACAACTCCCTCCATCTCTCGATGAAGGCGCCCGCACGTTCACCCATCCATTGGCAAGTGGTGGTGAGTTCCAAGAAGCTAACAGTCCTTCTTGTGCTGTAGAAGCGGTTCAAGAACTCGTGCTCCATATCATTCCAGCTATCAATGCAACCATGCTCCAGATCGCTGTACCAATCAAAGGCAGTGCCCTTCAGAGAGCGGACGAACTGCTTGACGAGGAGATCTCTGTATGTTCCTGCATCATTACATGTTTCAATGAAGTGGGCGATGTGCTGCCTTGGGTTGCCTTTTCTATCAAACTGCTGGAACTTGGGAGGTTGATAGCCCAGCGGCATCTTCCTTTCTTCAATCCTCTGAGTATAGGGCTTGGTGTAAGTGCATGAAGATTGTCCTCCCTCAAGCTTCCCTTTGATCGCTCCCATGATGTAGTCGTTCAACTGCTCGACAAGTATCATGCCCTCAGAAATTGGAACACTTTTCTCAGCAGGTGGTGGACGAGAGATTGTCTCTTTCATTCTTGGCCTACTTTGATGACGCGGTGACTCGACATCAATCTCATCTTCTTGGGTTTGAGGCTGCTTCTCGGAAGCTTGACTTGTTTCGCCGTTCCTTCCGCTTTCAACTTTTTCGCTGAGCTCATTGATCCTCCTTTCTTGGTCATGCATGAGCATGGTTATTCCCTCGAGAGATTTGGCGATGTTTGCTAGTTGTTCCTCAACCGAAGCTGCGTTCGTTGTCATAGCAGGCATGATTGTGTAGATGTGATTCCAATCCGGTGAGGTTTTCCACAAAAGTGATGACTGTGATGAGCTTCCACTGCTTGGGGTTTTATTCGAGGGAGTAGGGCTCGCAGGACTCTTGTTGCTGGGAGCTCCTTTGCTTGTAGGATTCTTGTTGTTGGGAGCTCCTTTGCTTGTAGGATTCTTGTTGCCAACAACCTCCATTGTAGTGGATGACCTCTTGTTACATATAGCTCTTCGTGACATGGTGGAGCTTCTGTCAATCCTTCGAACGATGTGGCGAGCGATGTCCTGGGCCCCATGCAGTTGCACTCCTAGGTTCCTCACTCGGCTCCGAGTCATTGCTCCTTCCACGTTTTGGCTGTCACCGGAACCGATCACGGATGATGCCTTGGAGCGGGTAGCTTGAGCGTAGGTCATCTTGGAGGAGGGATTTCTTGATGCCATTTGGATTCCTTCCTTATCGAGCTCGCGAATCAACAGTGAAGAGATGAGAGGCAGAGTGGTCCCACTGGGCGTGCCAAAATCTGTAAACACAAAAAAAGTAAACTTTGTATATATTTCACAAAATTCCTTGTACAGTGTATGTATAATTCAATATGCAGGTACACAATCTCTGTCTAATCCTCTGATTCTTCACTAACGTTATCTACTGAAGTGCCTCCGGGATTCAAATAGCGTAGCCTCCAGGATTCAATTGGCGCGTGCCTCCGGGATTCAAACGGCGTAGCTTCCGGGATTCAAGTGGTGCGACTTTCAGCAACAAACGTCAAGAATTTAGAAACAATTAACCTTGCAAAGTTTCAAAACACATGCAATGGATTCAAGTTGCCTTAAGATCCTCAAATGCCCTCAAAAGACTTCAAGATCTTCGAGACAATCAATTCTGCAAAGTTCCAAAGTACTTGCAATGGATTCAAATTGCCTGCAAAATCAACAAAAATGCCTTCAAGTCTTCAAGCGTTCTTCAATGCCTTCAATGAGCTCTCAACTCTTCAGGTCTTCTCAATTGTGTTTTGGAATGAAAATGAAGGCCCTATTTATAGTTGAAGGCCTAGCCAAAATCTCTCAACCAACTCTAATTTTTAATTAATTAATTAATTAATTAATTAAGAAAATGAATCTTGCCCAAAATCAAGTCTAGGTTCATTATTGTATAATCTAATTCAAATTCAAATTAAATTATAATTATCTAATTCAAATATAATAAAACTAATATTATATTTAAATTATAATTATAATTTATAATTCAAATTCAAATATGAGATGGGCTTGAACCAGTTAATTAATTAATTCAATGAACCAAATCAAATTGGACTAATTAAATTAAATTAACTTCTATGAACGCAGGTTATTATGAAGAATATGTTTGAATATTGGAGATTCGGAACGGCTTGGACTAGGGTTGTCGATGGAGATTTAAGAACTAAATTCGACATCAGTATTAGTTTTATTTAAATAAAATTACATGTCAGCAGTTTAGAGGGGCAACCTGGAGGTAACCTGCAAAAAAAGCTAATTGGCAAATTTTTTAAAATAAATGTGTCTGATTAGCTTATGTTTTAGTAGATGGGGGAATTGAGCACTTCGGAGTAGTAGATGGGGCCTATTTGACACCTTGTGCCAATTTTATTTTATATACACTATAGTTTCATTAAAACACAACTACATGATCATTTCAATATAACTACAAATTCATTGCACAATATACACTCAAATTTGTGAAATATTATTCAGTTTTATTTTATATACACTGCAGTTTCATTTCACCATAACTACAGTATCATTTTGATATAACTGTAGTTTCATTTGATAATATATAAAATAATACATGAGGCAGTGTCGGTTTAGATACATTGTAGTGTCAGTTTAGATATACTGTAGCTTCAGTTGGTAATTAGCCAAAAAAAAATGCGCTCCGTTAACAGTAACAGCGGAGCTGTTTTGACTGCGGTGCACGTGCACCACAGTCCACAGTATAATGACCCAATGAGAATATGGTAAGTGATGACTGATCTCAGCTGTCAATCAGAGTTCATCAATGTTCGAGAATTTTAGTAGGAAAAAATATGGGGTCAATTTTATAGTTATCGCCCTCCCCTGCAATTCTGCGACTCCTGGGAGTAGCCGACGAGGACAGCGACAACCGCCGACAAGGATTCCGCTTCCCCTGCGACAGCCGATGACGGCTCGGCCTCCACTTTTGTCGGCGCCACCAGTAATTTCCTTATTTGTTTCCCTTTTCCTTGAGTTGAATTTCTTCTAGCTATATATCCTTTTTTTCTTTTCTTTACATTGCAATTCTTATGCATGGTATATGAAAAACTAAGGTGATATTCATTTTGGTTGTAAGATTTAAGGAGTAATAGATTGCTAGCAACTTCAATTTCTACAACTAATTTCATCTATGCTGTATTTGGACTGAAAAATATTGAATGTATTTATCTCGCTGTAATTTTATTTTTTCATTTTATTCTGCTTTAGCATTATGTTAACTGTAACAGTGTAACACTGATCTTTCCTTGTGGTTCTTTCAATGCTAAAATTCTGTCATATAGTTCCAACAGGCATTTGTGGTAATTTCCTCCCACTTTATGCATTTATTATTTGAAAATGATTTTCATCTTTGTATTATGCATTCTGACTTTGATATGCATTCTCTTCATCAGCAGAGCTGAGAGCTGAGAGCTGAGAGCTGACCCTCCCTCCCAAAATAGTATACACTAGAAGAAGGGGATAATGGATTTGGGTTCGGGGGATGGCGGGCCAGGGTTGCCATCGACAGATGACTTCGAATCCCTGATTTCGACTACTGACGCGGAGCTGATGAAGCGAGCTTGGCGGAACGAGAAGGGTGTTCCCGAAATTCTTCAATTTGAGGCTGCTCTTGTCCAGAGATCCCGGGAACAGATCCAGTTGATGGTTCATCACAGTCTTTCTCATTAGTCATTACCTTTTAACTTTTCTTTTTCTCTATGCATTTATTTTTTAATTTAGTTTAAGTTTTCTGTTCGATCCTTGTTCTATATTTTGTTGGCAAATTTTGGCATGCATCATTAACCAAACCAGACACATCAAATGTGATGAATGGAGTATAAAATTTCTGAGCTTGTGTGATATTGGTTTAGAGCTAGGGCAATCTGATCTCTGGTTGACCATTGTGATAAATTGTACCTATTTCTAGTTTGTTGCTTTTCTTGTGTTAATTTCTACTCATGCCTCACTTCTTTAGGAGGAAACAATGGAGGAATACACAAAAAGTGGTGTTGATCCACTCACAGTATCGCTTTACCAGATGGACCTGGACAGAACTATGTTTCTACTAAGATCATATCTGAGAACTCGTCTCCAAAAGGTAGCCATGAATTATCTATTTTGGTATGCAATTTTTAAGCAACTGAGACGTTCAATTTGCTTGTTACTTTTTTATTTTATCTAGGTTAAATATGTTTAGTTACAGACCTTGCTGTATACATAACATTCATGATTGATCATTAATTTTGGTGACCCCAAACTATCCAAAGTTTGACATGCCTTTTGCATGGAATGTCTTATGTATTGTGCTTCTTTGTTCACATTGTACGTTAACTGCACAGATAGAAAAGTATGTGTTTCACATCCAAAGAAGTGATGAATTTTGGAACCGTTTATCTAAACAAGAACAAGAATTTGCTCAAAGGTAAATAGTATGTTATATGTTGGCACCTCTGTTAGTAGAGAAATACATTATTTTTAGTCGTCATGTAACAACTAAATGAACAATATAATTCTGACAGGTGTGGTGTTGTGGGCTCGGGGATATGTGAACGCGTCACTGGGCGGCGTACGGGGCTTGAGGGACGAGAGGGGGGAACTGAAGGCTTAGATGACCTTGATTTCCCTATGATTGCAGTAGCAGCTAAGGAAACAAAGAAAAATATAAAAAGAATGAAGAGTTTTGGAGTTCTTCCTCTCCCAAATTGCATTAGACAATTCCTGAATTCTTAGACAAAATATGGATGATTTAAACTCAGAAAAGCTACCCAATAAATACCTAAGGAACTTAACGTTCATCTCCCCCTAATTAGGACATTCAAAAAACAACTTAACAAACTAAAGGAATAAAAGGAAAAAACATAATATAAATAGATTAGAACTGTTTAGCTTTCCCTTGCTTGTGCTTGTTTCCTGCGTCTGTGGTATGTTCTTCCAATGAATGCATCATCACACCCCTCCAAGTCAACAAGCTTGTCCTCAAGCTTGAAATCCGGAAACAAGGACTGAAAACGGTGTACGGGTTCCCAGGAAGCATCGTCAGGAGTGGCACCAAGCCAATGGACCAGAATTTCTTTGACCCCTTGGTTCAGCCTGGACTTGGTCACGAGATGGGGTTGGAGCAAAACTCGACCGTCGTGCAATGGAGGTAGTCCAGGGGCCGTCGTTGGCGGGTCACCGTGAAAGGGCTTCAACAAGGAGACGTGAAAGACGTCGTGGATCCAACTGGAAAGCGGGAGGGCGAGTTGGTATGCCACGTCACCTACACGTGCAAGAATGCGGAAAGGACCAAAAAACCATGGCGAGAGCTTGTGGAATACACGGTGATTGACTGAGAGCTGGCGGTATGGATGTAGGCGCAACCAAACCCACTGCCCGACAGCATATTCAACATCGTGATGGGAACGGTTGTAGAGCCGCGCCATAGGTACCTGAGCATTCTGAAGGTGTTCCCGAACCAAGTTTAGAAGGGCATCGCGGTCTCGAAGAGCAACATCAACAGCGTCAATAGTGGACATCCCTGGTTCGTAGGACAAGAGACGTGGTGGGTCGCGGCCGTAAACCACGCGGAAGGGTGAAGTTTGTAACGCCGAGTGGAACGAGGTGTTGTAACAGTATTCGGCCCAAGGGAGGCAGTCAACCCACTTCCTAGGGTAATCACCAACCAGGCAACGTAGATACATAGCAATTGTGCGGTTTGTCGCTTCAGTTTGCCCATCCGTCTGCGGGTGATAAGCTGAGGAAAACGATAGATTGGTCCCGGTGAACCGAAACAACTCCTTCCAAAAGGCACTAGTGAACGTTACATCGCGATCACTGACAATAGACTCCGGGACCCCATGGAGTTTGACAATGTGGGCAAAGAACAGGCCCGCAATGGAGGTCGCCGTATAAGGGTGGCCGAGAGGGATGAAATGTGCTTACTTGGACAAGCGGTCGACGACTAACAGGATTACCGATTTGCCGTGAACCTTCGGTAGTCCTTCGACGAAGTCCAATGAAATGTCGCTCTAGATAAGCGACGGAATTGGCAGGGGCTGGAGGAGACTAGCCGGATGAAGATTCTCCCCCTTGCAACGTTGGCATGTAGGGCACTTCCGGATGTAATCGCGGACGGCACGCAGCAAGCCAGCCCAAAAGAACTCCCGGGACACGCGAAAAATCGTTTTCTGGGCCCCTTCGTGTGAATTGTCGTGAAACCCTGCAATGATAACCGGGATTAGTGGAGAATTCGGGGGAATATAGAGCTTACCTTTGTAACGGATGAGGTCGCCCTCTAGGGACCAGTGAGGTCCTTCGACGTCGTCCCGAATTTTGCCAAACAAGACTTGAGCGGTATCCGAAGCAGCGAGGTCACGACGAAGAGAATCGAAAACGGGGGAGACCAGAGTTGATAGAGCCAGGAGAGAAATGGAATCCTCGTCACACCGTGATAACGCATCTGCCACCGTATTGATACGACCCGCACGGAACTCCACTTCAAAGTCATAACCCAGAAGTTTACTAATCCAATGATGTTGGGGAGACGTGGTGAGGCGTTGCTGAAGTAGGAACTTCAAGCTATAGTGATCGGTGCGGACCGTGAAGGGACGACCCCATAGGTAGTGTCGCCAATGCCGAATTGCCTGAGATAACCCAATCAACTCCTGTTCATACGAGGCCAGTTTGTGATGTCGAGTGGCGAGGCGCCGACTAAAGAAAGCCACCGGGTGGTTATCTTGGTGCAAAACGGCACCTACGCCCACCCCCGAGGCGTCACATTCAACCATAAACGGTTTAGAGAAATCTGGAAGTTGCAATACCGGCGCCGTGGTAAGCGCGGTTTTAAGCTCCTTAAAGGCTGCCGTTGCCTCTGGTGTCCACACGAAGCTATGTTTCTAAAGAAGAGATGTCAACAGAGCAGCGATTACGCCAAAATCCTTAATGAACTTACGATAGAATCCGGCTAGACCAAGGAAGCCGCGCAGACCCTTAACAGAATGCGGCTGCGGCCAGTCCAAGATCGTCAAATGGACTTTGCTGGAGTCTATAGAAACTCCAGTGGCATCGATAATGTGGCCGAGGTACCCGACCCTGCCGACACCAAACGAACACTTGGATTTTTTGACTAACAGTTGATGACGTCGGAGGAGGGCAAAAACTGTCTGTACATGAGAGACGTGCTCCACCCAAGACCTGCTATAAATTAAAATATTGTCAAAAAAAAACCAAAATGAACTTACGAAGTACAGAGTGAAAAACCTCATTCATGAGAGCTTGGAATGTCGATGGTGTGTTGCAGAGGCCAAAAGGCATAACCAAGAACTCAAAATGGTCGTGGTGTGTACGGAATGCCGTCTTCTCAACATCCGCCGGATGCATGCGGATTTGATGGTAACCAGAACGTAAGTCTAACTTTGTAAAAAAATGAGACCCATGTAACTCATCCAAAAGCTCGTCGATAACCGGAATCGGGAACTTGTCTTTTATGGTCTTGGCGTTCAACTCCCTGTAGCCAATACAAAATCGCCACGAGCAATCTTGCTTAAGAACCAACAAAACTGGGGAGGAATATGGCGAGTGGCTGGGCCGAATAAGGCTGAGTTCTAGCATAGAGCGACATTGCCGCTCGATTTCATCCTTTTGAGCTTGAGGATAGCGATATGGACGGACTGCTACCGTGTCTGCGCCCGTAACCAATGTAATAGGGTGATCGCATTGGCGTTGGGGCGGCAGTGCCGTAGTTCCTGAAAAAGGGTAGAATAATCAGTTAAAACGTGGTCCAAGGCATTATTAACACTGACCTGTGACTGTATGGCAATAATTAGATGGCTAGGCGGGTCATTTTCCCCTTGCCACGTGATAGATTGATTGCCACACGAGAAGGTCATGGTCAGTGCCATGAAATCCCAAATAATGGCACCTAGCGTGCGTAACCAGTTTACACCAAGTACAATTTCAAAGCCAACTAAAGGAATAACATATAAATGAACAGGAAATAAATGATCATTTTTCTGAAGGAGGATGTCTTCACAAACTCCGAGCCCGGTGATGCGCTCTCCGTTCGCCACCGCCACTTGCAAAAAAGGACACTCGCGAACCGGTAAACCGAATCGCGTAGCGATACCTGCGTCCACGAAATTATGCGTACTTCTCGAATCAATCAAAGCCGTAATTGGGAAGGTATTAATCCGCAATTGAACGCGCATCGTGTTGCCGCGACTAGTTCCCGTAATGGCGTGTAGTGAAATTTCTGGGCGTTCCAAATCTGTTTGTGTGCAATCCATTTGTGCGTGGCCCATCTCATCTGGCTGGCCCAAATCACCTGTGTGGCCCAAATCACCTGTGTGGGCCAAAGTACCTGCACCATTATCAATTATAAAATAAAACAAGCGTTTACAGTTACATCATTATCAATTATAAAATAAAACAAGCGTTACAGTTATGCGACACAGACCAGGGTTCATCGCAATGATAACACAGCCCTTTAGATCTGCGGTATTGGTAGTCCGACCGGGAGAGACGACGCTTCGAGGGAAACTTCGACGAAACTCCCCGCGAACCGTCGACGGTGGATGACGCCGCCCTAGGGTTCGGCGCCCTGGGGTTCGCGACGGACACACTGCCGACTGAACTCGCCACTGAGTTCGTCGGAGCCGCCAGCCCTGGTCGCACCGTACTGGCCTGCCCAGGTCGCGCCACCGGCCGCGACGGCGCTGCCAGTCGTGAAGGACCACCGGCGAAGTGAGAAAACGACGGGTAAGGGCCCTGGAGTTGGTGGTCCGGGGCGGTGTACTGTCGGCGAGCGTACGATCGGGCTAGGTTCATGGCCACATCCAAGTTCATCGGTTGCTGATTCTCGACATCTATTCGGAGCCAATCGTCTAAGCCGGCGGTGTAGAGGTCCACGACCTGGTTGTGGCGGACTGTCGACGTTCGTAGTAGCGAAGTCTGGAAATCGTCGTTGTAGTCCTCAATGGAGCGGCCATCCTGGTTCAGCTTAATGAGAGCGCCCAGCGCGTTGCTCCAGAGTCCGGGTCCAAAACGGAGATAACAGCGCTGCTTGAACTAAGCCCAGGTAAGGTCCAGTTCCTCCAATTCTAATCTGAAATGCCACAGCTGCGCCACCCCCGTCAGGTGGAAAGCTGCCAAGCTAACGAAGTCCTGCGGCGGGGTGTTTTGGGCTCGAAAGAACTGTTCGCAGTGGTGAAGCCAGTCGGAGGGGTCCTCTCGCCCGTCAAACCGGGGGAACTCCAGCTTGGTGAACTTCGGGGTTGTGGTAGGGGGAGCCGGTGTGGCCTGCACGGGAGGTGGCGCGGCGTCGCTGCTGCACGCAGCCTCCTTCCCGGCCATGAGCTGCCGAAACATCGCCCGGAACTCTACCTGCTCAGCCTTCACAGCCTCCTGATCAGCCCTCATGGCCTCGATTGCGGTCAGGAGGTTGGCCAGTGTCGGTGTCTGATCGCCCATGACGTCAGGCTCTGATACCAAATTTGTTGTGGGCTCGGGGATATGTGAACGCGTCACTGGGCGGCGGACGGGGCTTGAGGGACGAGCAGGGGGAACTGAAGGCTTAGATGACCTTGATTTCCCTATGATTGCAGTAGCAGCTAAGGAAACAAAGAAAAATATAAAAAGAATGAAGAGTTTTGGAGTTCTTCCTCTCCCAAATTGCATTAGACAATTCCTGAATTCTTAGACAAAATATGAATGATTTAAACTCAGAAAAACTATCCAATAAATATCTAATGAACTTAACGTTCACCTCCCCTAATTAGGACATTCAAAAAACAACTTAACAAACTTAACAAACTAAAGGAATAAAAGGAAAAAACATAATATAAATAGATTAGAACTGTTTAGCTTTTCCTTGCTTGTGCTTGTTTCCTGCGTCTGTGGTATGTTCTTCCAATGAATGCATCATGTGGTGAAGATGTACAGACACATTTTGAACAGTCTGTGCTGTCAAAATTGCCTCCAAGTTTCAAGTCTCATTTGAAGCAATCTTTCGTAAGTGAGCAGGATGACATGGGTAGGTTTGTCTAACCAAGCAAGCACATTTTGTGTGGGTTTTTGAAATTTGAATGTGAAGTTGTGATTGAGGAATTAGTTAATATTTTCTTTGCATCCTGCAATTTCGAACTGATTACGAGTTTGTTATCAATCAATAGTCCCAGAGCCACGGCTGGAGCATTATGTGATTTGCAGGAGCAAGAGGTTTTTGGGAGCTTTTCAGCTGGACGACAGGTAAACAAACTACTACTCCATTCAGTCCTAATTGTTAATTTACATAATAATCTAGCAATGCAAATAGTAATTTTTGGTTTTGGCTAAACCTCAACTTAACAGCGGGGAGGATCCTGTAAGCATTGTGATGGATATATAAGGAACGGGCTCGGGGCAAACCGACCCGGGAAGACGTGGTGCAAGGGGCCAAGGGCTACCCCGGCACGGGCCGACTAAGGCCTTGGCTAGGGGACTCCCGCGGCCCGGCCAAGGTCAACCCGGGAAGGCGTGGTGCAAGGGACCAAGGGCGGCCCCGGCACGGGCCGACTGAGGCCTCGGCTAGGGGACTCCCGCGGCCCGGCCAAGGTCGACCTCCGCAGGGCTCTACTTCGACCCGTCGGCCACGGCTGGGGCCTACCTCGACCCCGGGGCACAAGTCTGCCCCGGGTCCTCGCGTGGACTCGGTCAAACCACGATCCAATCGCCCCACGAGAATAGGGTGGGCGGTTGGGAGGTTAGCTAGTATAAAAATGGGGATTATTTTCTTGTTGGGGACATCTACATCTTGTCTTGTTACTACATTCTCCTTGTAATTTTCCTATAAAAGACTATCAATACGAAAGTTGTCCCCGCGACATATACATTCTTTGCCTTTTCCTATTTATCATTTATTGGATTTAGTGATTCTGGTCCTCCCCGGGTAATTAAATCCATCACATTGAAGCGAACGATTTATATGCTTTGCCTTACAAGTCTGTAAAGCCGCTGATTGAGAATGGGCAGATAGATATTGTATGAGCATTTCAGAGCAGAGCTTTAATTTGCTGTAAGTAAATTATATGGAGTATTTGGTTGAGTTTTTCCACTCCTCAAAATCTTGCCAGATTTATCTACTCCTTTTCAAAACTTCTTCAAATCAAGTTATTACTCGCATTAGATGTGCCACTATACATAAATAGTATTGAAGTAATCTCTTGGCAACTACGCAGTATGTACATTGACAATATATGTATGTGGTTGAAAGGTTGAGTGTTGGTATAGTGATCCAACAAATACTCGTGTTCAAATTTTCAATGGGGAAGGATGCATCATTGTATTGAGGTATATCCTGCGATTTATCTCATCTCATAATTCCTAAACTATAAATTAAAAATAATTTTGAGCTTGCATTTAATTTTATCAAGATTTAGTTGCCTATGTATCTTGGTAAAATTAAGTGCAAGTTCAAAATTTTATTTATTTTTTTAGTTTAACTTTAAAATTTAAATATTTGATTTAACCATTTTTTAAAAATTTCTAGAATGACAAAATTCCAAAGAAAAAAAATGTTGAAATTTGACTATTTTAAAAATAGAAAATAGAATTTACAAAAGAAAATAAACAATTCGAACTGATGATTCCAATTGGAATTACCGATTCATCATTTTCTGAAACTGGGAACTATCATTATTAACCTACTCTAGGAGGTAAAAATGGTCTAATTGTATCATTTTTTTTCTAAGATCAATGACTTATTTGAAGTTTTTTAGAGTTTGATAGTTTAATTGTACTTTTTATAATAATTGAATTACTTATTTGACCCTTATCCATTTAAAAAATTAGCATGTGTTATAAAATTTTTAACTCATGCAACTGACGCATATCACAGAACAATATAATGTTTGTATTTTATATATATATATATATATATATATATATATATATATATATATATAGGGAAGGGATCAGGTGCATTTGTGGCTTTCCGTACAGTTGTGCTATTGATTAATGTGCCTGAGTTTTATACTTAATGTGCGTGAGTCTTGTGCTTAATGTGCCTGAGATTTGTACTTAATGTGCGTGAGTGTGTAATGTTAATGTGCGTGAGTTTTGTACTTAATGTGTCTGAGTATTGTGCTTAATGTGCGAGAGGTTTGTGCTTAATGTGCGTGACTTTTAACAAGGTTATTGAAGATCGCCAATTTCGTCCTGGACCAATTCCGATGGCGGTGAACAGAGATTAGGTTCGGCGGTGACGAATTCTTCCTATCAACGGCGGTGGTGCGGTAATTTCGGTGGTGTTTGCAAGTACGGCGATCCATAGTGAATTCCGTTCGACAATTGCGAACTCTTGTTCGGCGCAGCAGAGTCCTTAGCTGGTTAAAATTCTCTTTGCGACATCAATTTCACGATGGCAGATTGACTTTGTTTTACGTCCAGGTTATTAATTTGTGAACAAGTTAATTCCATTTGTATTCTTTCTTGTCAGTATGTTGAGTTAATTCTTTCTTTAGGTACATGAATTATTTATTATGAATATTTTATCACGCACATTAAGTATAAATCTCAGACACATTAAACACAAGATTCAGACACATTAAGTACAAAACTCAGACACATTAAACATAAGACTTACGCACATTAATCAACCGCACAATCGCACGGGAAGCACCATATATATATATATATATATATATATATATATATATATATATATATATATATATATATATATATATATATTCTCATAATGTCTAAATGATGTGTAAGACGACCCAGTGGCCAACCAACCATAAGCATGTTAAAATAATATTATACTGAACTTTTAAATTTACTTTCTAATATTCATCACTTAATATGACACTAGTTATACTTGATTAGATCTTTTATATATTTAATAATTAGTAATTTTTTAACCATGTTTTAAGATCGGTTAATACACAAGTAATTAATAAATATAATAAGTTTTATTATCAGGCAAATTAAGAAAAAAAAAAAAAACGTAATTCTCAATATGTTATAGTTGGACAAACCTTTGGTGGTGCCATATTGCCTTTATATTTAGTGTAGAGGTTCTAGGTCTTTGTAGCAATCGTTATAATTATATCATTGACTACAATTCATCTTACAATTAAAATGGACCCTTGTTTAAATGACATTATTTTATAACTTAAATAAATAATATATTTAGTGATACCATTTTTTCACCAATCAAAAATATCGTTGATACTAAAGGTACATAATCTGTTAACTACAAGTTTATAAATTCAATAAACATTAAACATCAATAATATAAACTTATTAATTTTCAACCAAATATCTCTTAAACTCTCATAATCATGATTATATATGTCAAACACTCAATTTATGAACCTTTAGTTTTAAGTTTATTTACTTAAAATTCACATATTATATATGAACTTAGAACAATGTTAGAGTTACTTGACATAATAAATTTATAACAAATATTGTACTTATATATGTAAGTTTATGTATATATAGTTAACAGATTATGTACACACTACAAAGATGAATATTGACCAAATAGAAGAAAAAAAAAAAAAAAAAAAAAGAGAGACAAATAGACAATGCTAATTTAAACAAAACAATCTTGGTTTTTTTTTTTTTTTTTTTTTTTTTTTTTGTAACAATGTTGTTATGAATAGGAAAGTAAGGTGGACCTGGTTGATACTAATACCGAATATCTATTTTTGTAGAAATCCACTCTCAACGAAGCACCAGTGGTCTAGTGGTAGAATAGTACCCTGCCACGGTACAGACCCGGGTTCGATTCCTGGCTGGTGCAAGCTGTTTTTAATTTGAAACAATTTCACTTCTTCATTAACAGTATATATAATATGATACTATGGTTGAAATTCAGCTGTTTTTAATTTGAAACAATTTCACTTCTTCATTAACAGTATATAATATGATACTATGGTTGAAATTAAATCAACAGAATTAAAAATTATGTTGCTGCCCTGTCTGACAATTAAATTTTATTTTTATTGTTTGAATCAAAGAAAATGAATTAATATCCAAAATCGTCCTCGACTATAGTGATTTTTCTCAATTTCGTCCTAAACGATTTTGGTGGCCTAATATCGTCCCAGACTTTTGTGTTTCACTCAATTTAGTCCTCCATTTGTTATTCCATCAAATTGGTGTTAAATAAAGGGACAATTCAATAATGTCAATATTGATCTCTCTTTACTTTCAACTTGTGAAGTGCGAAATTCCTCTTTCTTGTACGAATTACACCTAGAATTACTCCCGGATCTGCAAATCAAATTTTATATTCGCAGTTTTAGGAGTAATTCTAGGATTAATTCGTAAAAAAAAAATGATTTCGCAGTTCACATGTCTATGAGTAAAGAGATGCCAATATTAAAATTACTGAATTGTTTATTTATTTAACACCAAATGGACAGAATAACAAATGAGGGATTAAATTGAGCAGAAACACAAAAGTCTATGACTAAATTGAACGAAACACAAAAGTGTGGGACGATATTAGGTCACCAAAGTCGTTTAGGACGAAATTGAGAAAAACCACTATAGTCGAAGACGATTTTAGGTATTAACTCAAAAGAAAATATACTCTTTTTCAAGTATCTTGTGGTCTAGTGGTATTACTCGCTCTATTCCATTTAGATTTGACATATTTAATAGTAGGTTAGATTACATTTAATGTATGTGACTTGAACTCTTCATGTTAATTCCAACGTTTTGTCTTTCTCGTTGTTGATTTTTATAGCTTTGGTCCTTTAGTTAAAATTGACTCGATTAGGTTCTTAAACTATTAAAAATAAACCAATTTTAATCATCATGAAACATGTTTTAATAGTTATGAAATTTAAACTCAAAAATGACATCCTCCATGTAGGCTAGTTTGCAACTATATATTTCCTTCATATGATGGTTTTTTACCCTTTCTTTAGATGATGAGAAAAATTAACAACTACTATTTAAATGTGTAGATTAAGTAAATTTAGAGAGGTAAATAATCACACTAGCAATGAGCTCGAGCGGAGGATGAATGAGAAGAAATTGACAAGAACCAAACCCGTGATCAACTTTAGATACGAGATTCATGCATATTTACGGTTTTACCCACTTAAGTCTTCAATCACCATTTAAGGGCATTTTCACAATTATTGATCCCATATACACATAGCTTAGCTTGCATGAGGGGTTAAAAAGGGAAAGAGAAAAGTGATCCTACCTGCTGGCTCTAGGCTAAGTACAAAGTTGAGTCCCACATTGGCATGCATGTGTCCAAATTAAAGTTGCACAATACTAGGTAGTGGTCCAACCTATTTAGTTATAAATTAAATATGACCAAGTTGTTACCACTTGCAATTGCATGCTTCAATTCGGATGGGGAGTATCATTTTTTTTCTTGGGATGGGGAGCCTACGAGGCAAATTATTCTGTGAATTCGAATTCAAAAATACACAATTTATATATTGAATATTCACAAATTTATATATTAAACGTTTACAATTTACATACTAATTGTTTACAATTTAAATTGTGAATATTCAATATATAAATTGTATATTTTGATCCGGTACATAACATAAGTGCATAACTGTCCTGAGCATGGGGTTCCCTATCTATATATCGTCTTGAGAGTTGAGAGGAATTATTTACTAATTTTAATTTGACAAATTTTAAGTTTCGACCTAATAATAAATACTAGTTATAACTATGGGCAATGCATAATAAAGAGATGTCTAATGAGTATAAGTAATGGTCAACTTATATAATTAAAATAAATGTAAAATTAATGATCTTAGGGATGTACTTTTTGTGCGTAAAAGTGTACAATTTAAGATTTTTAAAAGAAAAAAAGAAAATGTATAATTTAGTTTTGAGTATTGAAATTAGATTCACTTGATTTATCTTCTCGTGGGTGTGGTGGTGAGTTTATGTGGTCTAAGATATTCCGTGAAACTGGAAATATGTGTTACAAAAACAAGGGGAAATGATCAAATATGCTATCAAACTTTAGCTGAAAAGTCAACTAGCTCCCTAACTTTTTAAAGGTACAATTACACGGTTTACACCCATCAACAATTTATTTTGATGCAATGAAGCTAAAAAATCGATTAATGACATGTTGTCATAAGTCATTAGCTTAGGGTTTCGGCAACTCACTAGCAAAATTTTGGCAGAATTTCAGGCAACAAAATAACAAGTGACTGACGAACGATCGCCGGTCACGGAGAAGGAGACCAAGGTCACATTCTCACTGAAGAAGCTGGAGAAGGCGATCAAGTGATTGCCTTCTCCGTAGAGAAGGCGACTTTGGTGTCCTTCTTTGTGACCGGCGATTGTTCGCCGATTGCCGATCACTTTGTTGCCTGAAATTTCACCGGCGGGTTATCGGAACTTTAATGACCTGTGATAGCAGGTCACTGATTTTGAGCTTCATTGTATTAAAATAAATTGTTGATAGATGTAATTAAACATTTAAATAATTTAGGAGATCAATTAACTTTTGAGCTGAAATTCGATTACATGATTTTTTTTTGGCTAAAAACAAAGGCATTTAAGGTGAAGGACAAAAGGGTAAATCACCATAGATATATTCAATAGGCTATTTTCAGCCTCTTTTGCAGAGTCGCTGACAGAGATAGGGAGAAAGTGAGGGAAAGAAAGGGAATCCCCACAACTGCAAAAGCAACAATGTAGATTGTAGAGAGAGAGAGAGAGAGAGAGAGAGATGTTATATGTATGAAAGATTGATAGGCACAGACTATTCTTGTGGTAAATCTCACGCAAACACAACACCACCACCCACCCTTTTTTGCTTCAATAGGTAAAATTCCGATTCATCTGCCTTCACTTTCTCATTACTTGTGAACCTTCTGTTTCTCGCTCTCCACATCTATCCATATATGTATCATGCTATATATATATATTTATATGGGCATTAAATTCCATCCCTCTCAGATCGCTAACCATTTGATCCTCTGCCCGTCTCCTCAATTTCGTGCTTTGCGCTCCTTTCTCGCAGGGTGGTGAAACACTAGCTCATTTCTTTTTCTCCCTTCTCTTTCCTCGTAAGTCACAATGCTCTCTCTTTCTCTCTCTCTCTCTCTCTCTCTCTCTCTCTCTCTATATATATATATATATATATATATATATATATATATATATATATATATATATATATATATATATATATATGTATGTGTTTCTGTATATGCAACTTTTGGTAGCATGCTTTCTCTGAAATGTGAGTAGTTCTTGATTTTATTGTTTGATCCTACCTGAAAGTAAATGTGGAAAAATGGGGATGGGGAGGTGGAGATTTTCAGATATTTTTTGTTTTGTTTTTTCTATTTCTTTGAATAAGCAAAAAAGATTCAATCTTTTGATATTTGTAGCCAGAAAAGCAAGGCTCAAATGCTTTGTCTGTGAGCAATTATTGTCGGTTGTTTCATAATTTGTTTATTAAGGATAAATCAGATAAATGGACAGTGGGGAGGTTCTGCAATCATATTTTATTCCCTTCTTGTCCTTTTCTTTCCCCTTCTTTTCTCTATCAAAAACTGTTTATGCCAGCTGAAGTTTTACCTGCTTCTTTTTGTTGCTGGACAAGTGGGCAACATGTGTTATGCTTCAGCTTGTGATCAATAAAAAAATGGCATCTTTTGCTACTTTGTATCATAGTGTTGGAACTCTGGGGCCAGGCTACTGTCCTAATCTATTTGTACTGTGATCTTATTTAGATATTGAGTGTGCTATTAAAGTAAAGAGAGGATTTCTGAATATATATCTTATAGAAAAGAGAATGCAAAGCCCTATAAATACATGCTAGAAGACTTCGAATAGGGAACAAGTTTCCATATGCCTACTTGCCTTAAATCCACTGTCTAATTTATAGAGATTCCAAATATTATATCTATATTCCATAACAGAGTGATGAGGGAAACCAGCCCTCCACTACTCGAGGGTGTGCATGAGTTAAACTTGTCTCGTGACCCTAGCTGGTAAAGGACTATAACGAGATAAACCAGCCTATAGCTGGCCAGCTCAAACCAAGAATGACCAATATAGGCCTCTCCCGTTGGGAGTTGAGCTTGTAACCTTGTGATTACCAAGTCAACAGTCTGACTAGCTTGGCTGGGATTGTTCCCAAATTCTTTGGATTTTTGTGAGTATATGTGGTTTTGCTGAACAAGCCGTAACTGCAGCATCATTTTGGGCAGAAGGAATATGAACTTGGTTAGCAACTATACTAAATAGTAAATAGTGGTAATTAGGATAATGGTTTGCACACATTTGAAAGATTCTGGCATTCTGCCAATCTTAAGTCCCTTGTTGGAGGGTCTGAAAAAGCTAATTTGTTCTTTCTATTATAGCTACCTAAGCCAGACATTTGTAACTAAAAGGATAAACTACCTGGACTTTTTTGTAGCCTTTTCCTGGAAAATTATATTGAATGTGTCATATGATTATTTTGGTCGCTATATGAAGCCTAGTTTGTGTCTTTATGGATATATAATTACTGAAAGCTGATTGATGTTTTATTTCGAAAGCTATTTAGTACCGGGGGCTGAGATTGCAATGTCAAAGATCGTAGCATGATTTTACTGTTTCTGAAATCTACAATACTACGACTCGAGGGGTGAAAAATCTTCTGGCTTTCTTGAGATCAAGATGTTTACCAGAGGTGATTTAGATCTAAATTTAGTGCTGAGATATGATCCGTTACCGAAAGAAGTTTTGAAACCTGCAATGCTCAAGCAGGAACATATATTCAAGAAGCAGGTATGCTACAGTATCTACTTTTAGAATCACTTTTGCAAAGTTCACCTTTTGTGGTCAATCTCCTTTTCAAAAAGTGATTCAAGAGAGGACAACTTTTTGCTTAAATAGTTTGGGAACAGTTGCATTTGCTTTTATTTTCAGCTTAAAATACATGCTGCCATGATTATATATCTTCTAGCTGAATAAGTTCAATTTTTCATGTTTTTTTAAAAAAATTGGAATTTTACGCATTGAAGCTGAACTCTTTATACTATCTGTAAGGAGTATAAGTGTACTGTTGTCTGTCAAAATGTTTCTGCTTGAAAAATCACTTCTGTTGCTTCATACAAAATCGTCAACGTTGTCCCTAGGAAATTAAGGTAGTTCTCGTGTGCTCGTCTAATTTGCTGACAATAACAGTAATAGGTTGTGTACTCGTTTAGACGTTTTTTGAGTTTTTACCCGCTCTGACACCTGTGAAGATAGATCAATATCACAAATAATAAAATGCACAAGCCTCGGGGACTCGGTTATGAATGTTAAAATTGTGAGATGACATTTGCTGTATTCATGGTTTTCAGGTAAGCACAAGGTTATCTGTGAACAGTCTACAAGAACGCAGAGTTTTCTTCGAGCAAAGGGTTTTGGTTCCTCAATTTTGTTCCAATCAGCATTTTAACCACGTTAATCGGGATAATTTAGTTAAAGAAAATAGCCCCCTTTGTCCACAAAAGCCAGTAAAGATAAAACACAGTTTCCATGCTCGAGTGACACCTTCAGAGGAAGTCGATCTCTCGTTAAGCATTGGTTGGAACAAGCAAAGGAATGATATTATTGATTTGGAGGACTCGGATGAAACAGTGTTGCATGGAGAAGTAAATAACGTATCTACATTTGGTTATGCTGCTCGTGTTGGGTATTCGGGAGGCAATTATGATTCGGGTTCTACTCATAGCATCATCACTCATGGCCCTGATAAAAATCAATTTGAAGGGACAGATAGAAGTCAGTACTCGAGTGTCGATTGCAGCAGAGGTTTGCTCGAGCAAAGCTCTTTGAGTAAAGGTTTGCCATCTTTATCCGTGTTTTTCTAGACTTGTATGTAGAGGAAATTAAAGACACTGTTAATTCTCGTCGGATGTTCTAATCTCAGTGTCATCTGCAGGAGTTACGCAATGCTGCAATGTTGTTATCTCTGAAGATACGCCATCCAACAGAAAACGTTTTTCTTCTGATGAACGAGCACTTCTAGACCTTAACCGACATCCAAATGAATTATCGTTTCACCCAACTGACCCCGGCTCTGTCAGTTCATCAACCGGGGCTTTCTTGAGGGACTCCCGTGGAATGGTTGGTGGGTCCCACGATAATGACGCCTCACACAACGCTCCCAACAGGAGAGATCAAGCCGATGATGATGATTGCAATAACGTTGTGGCAGCGTTGGACAGCTCGGGAAGTCATGACGGGCATACTAGTAAAGTTGAACCTGAAGGAATGACCATAACATTGGAAATCCAAAATGGTTCTAAGCGTGCTGAGGATACAAGATTTTCAGATGAATGCATGACTCGAGATACAGTACTCGAAGACATGGAAGTTGATCGATCTCCCATCTTATGCAAATCCAATTATGCAGCAGACGACAACATGTTAAGCAGAACAGTAACCGAGGAATCTGGGAATCGTTTGGCGAAGTCAAATACCCCGGTAGATAATGCTGGTTTGTCACAAGCAGCAAAATCTCCACGCCATGAGGATAATGCTGAATCTTGTGGTAACAACGATTCGAATTTCCAAGGCGGGGATGATCAGAAGGGTAAAGCAGCAGCAGAAGTTGACAACGATGTCCAAAAGGGAGCGGTGTCTCTACTGTTTTTCAAGTTGGAAAGCACGAGAGACCGGAGCAAAACTAGGCAGCAAGAAAATGACAGCAATGAGCAGCAGCCTCTGTATTCGTGTGACACTTTCGAGTCGATGGTGCTCAAGCTGCCCGAATGCAATGTAGACGACGACGACTCTTGTGTGTCCTCGAAGCCCTTTGAAGTGAAGAACGTCACGAGCAATAAGGATTGCGGAATCGCGCTGAGAAGGGGGAGACGAATGAAAGATTTCCGGAGGGACATTCTTCCTAACTTGGCATCTCTTTCAAGACATGAGATTTCTGAGGACATCAAAATTATGGAGACAGTACTAAGATCAAGAGAATACAAGAAAATCATGTCCAGAATGAAAGGTGGTGAGCAGAAATGTTTCACACCTGTGAGAAGCAAGAGGTCTAGACTCAATTATGCTGGCCAAAAACACCATTCATGAATTGTTTGTTCATCACAAGTAGGAAAGGATGACATTCTTTTCTTTTTTTTTTTAGGAACTATCTATCTGGGATTATTAACATATTTATGTTGTAAACAGATTTGACAGAATTAGGTAGTTTGACATGAAATTTGATTTGTTTTTCCTTTGGATTACATTTTGTTTTTTATTCTAAAATCACTTTTAGATGGAGTTACCAAATTGGATGAGACCTTAAAGTATTCACATTAATATAGACTGATCGCGTAATCAAGAATTGATATTTTGATTTTTTGATATGTTACAATTATCTTGATGGTCTAATGTTCTTGATGAACTATTTTGATTTTAGTCGTTTCACTCATAACCCTAGAGGCCCACATTGGGACGCACTATAAAGGATACTCCGGTATCTTAGATGCACGTTAGACTGGGGTCTCAACTTCAAAGGATACCCAGCTGTGCTAGAAGGGTTCTGTGATGCGAACTGGGTAAACGACAATGATGATGTAAGCTCTACAAGTGGATATGTATTCACACTATGTGGGGCTGCAGTGTCGTGGAAATCAACCAAACAGTCGTGCATAGCCAGATCAACTATGGAAGCAGAGTTCATAGCTTTAGATCTGGCTAGCCAAGAGGCTGAGTGGCTAAGAAATTTATTGGCAGATGTGCCATTGTGGGGGAGTCCTGCTCTCGCCGTGCGATTCATTGTGATTCACAAACTGCCATATGTGTGGCACAAAATAGTGTCTACACTGGGAAAAGAAGACACATAAGAGTCAGACATGAGTCTGTACGACAGTTAATATTGAATGGGGTAATCACAATGGAGTTTGTGATATCTGAAAGGAATATAGCTGATCCTTTCACGAAAGGCCTAAATCGAAAGGCTATCCTTGATACATCAAGGGAGATGGGCTTAAAAGCCAATGAGGTGAGAAATTCATGATGGACACCACTTCGGTGGTCAAACGAAATCATGGAAAGACTCGTATTTATAAGCAGTCTATAAATTAGTCCACTCGTCGTAGTCCACGGTTGGCAGTCTACGGTGAAGTACACTCGGTGGAGTGGAATGTCTGTGCTGAGACAGACAAAACAGGGCTAATACATGGTTATCCAATAACTATACAAAGTGTACAACAAATGGAGCTAACGAGGTGCACATAAGTTCAAAATTCAACTAGCCGAAGAGTTCAAGATTCTGTTCACTCTCGGATAGTGGATTACTTAGTGCCACTACTTGTCAGTTCAAGTTTAACACACTGACATGAAAGCTATCTCTTGTTTGTTACGCTCAGTTGCTCTTCGTTAAGCCTTACACCTTCGAATGTGTGGGGATTGTTGAGAAACATTCAAAGCCAAGGCTTCAAGTGGGAACTCATTTAATGGTCATTTGTTTAAAGTGAATGTCCCACATTGATTTGTTAGCTTTCCCTTCCTTCCCTTATATACTTGAACTCCCTAGAGAAGGCTTGAAGTGTTATGGAGAGGGAACGAGGGGAAAACCCCGTACGCGTCATCGCTGCCCGCCTGGACCACATGTGGTGTGAAAAGTTTTGTTGCTCGGTCATTGTTTTGATCTCTATTTTAGTGGATCATCTCATAAATACAACGCCTACAGTTTCGCTAAGGCTATAAGAAGGGTAGTAGCAGTATAAAAGCGAGCCTCCTGCTGTGTCTCATAACATCGAAAACATCATTCTAATTCCCTAAATTATGATATTGAGCTGCGTGTTTGTTTCTGTGCTATCAGTGGGAGCGATACCCTAGTCGTTAACACGACACAGAACACTGCCGTTTTTTCAGTCCTAAAGCAACGACGCATCGCGAGCTTTTTATCGGCGGTAAAGTAGTACTGCTTCAAGTTGAAAATCCCAACACTACGAAAGCACGCAGAATTCTTTAATGAATTTATCACAGAAAAATGGAGGACACAGAAAAGAATACACCACAACGGAAAAAATGAGTTTGTTGTCTCCCTCCGATCTCTTCTCTGTCGTCTTCCTCTCCATCTGTCATTGCATGTATATCTCTCTTGTTTAGCTACTCTGTCCAGATCCCTCCACGTTCTCTACTTCGATTTCTAGCAATTTCACTCCATCTTTCCAAATTAAAACCCTAAATACTCCGTATACTTACCAAAGAATTCAAAAGACCCAAAAAATTAAACAATAGTTAAGTGTTTTGGTTCTTACATGCAGTTGATTCTGAGGGCGTTACCGTTTTCGGACGAAGAAACCCTAGATCGCGAAATTTCAAAATCGCGATTTCAGAAAAATTCAAAGGTAATGCTTGTAATCTTTTTTTTTTTTTTTAATCTAAATATTTTGATTTCACAATCCATTAAATCCGGTTTTATAGGGTTAGATAATAATATGAAATTAAATTTTATATTTTGAGATCTGAAATATGCATCTGTGTTTATCTAATTGCATGCATAAGATTTGTTTGTTTTTTGTTTTTTGCTGGAATACAAAGATAAATTTTTTTAACAGTAAGAATTTTAAAAAAATTAAAGAGGACATTATCTATGCTTATCTAATTGCATCCAGTGTTCCTGTATGCTAATATGAGCTTAAGTTAAGTTTCATTGTTTTGTACTAATATGAGCTTTGTATTATTTGTTTATACTGGTATATATATATATATATATATATATATATATATATATATATATATATATATATATATATATATATATATATATATATATATATATATATATATATATATATATCTATTTTAAGAAGGGTATTAATGTATTTTTGGTTGGAGAGTCCTTGTCAGATTGGCTTTCAAACACACGCGCAAGGTGGAGACTTCTCCTATTCTTCTGGTCTTCTCTTGTCGTGCGTGGGGAGTGCGTCGAAGAGGTGCGAAAATCGCGTTGCCTTCTCTCCTTCTCGTTTTCGATCTTCATTCGCACGTTGCCATGGTTGGTGGTGGGGACCGCGACACGTTGAAGAGGGGGGGACCACCGGATGTCGGCCGAGGTTAGTCCTCTGTTTTTTTTTTTTTTTTTTTCTATACTCTTTTCGGCCTGGGTTTCTGTTCAAGTTTGGGGGGTTTGTTGTTTTGTGGTTGGTAGGTGTGGATTGAGGTGGGGGGCAATGTCTTTTTGCCCGATTTTGTGTTCGATTTTTGCATCTAGGGTTTGTTTTTGTACTGGTTTGTAGGGTATGGCGGGATGGGTTTTGGGGTTTGTTGGTTTGTTTCCGGGGCGGTGGGGATTTTGGTGGCTGGGTGGGGTGGCTGTTGGCGTTTTTGTGGCCGGAAGGGGTGGTCGTTTGTTTTTCCGGCCGGTAGTTCTCGTTGCTGTTGTTGTTTTTTTTTTTTTTTTTTTTTTTTTTTTTTTAAATGTATGTTTGGTCGTATGTTATAACCACACCCTTATGAGTCTCTCTCGTTTGCAATAGCTTCTCACCGCGATATTAGATTCCATTTCAGCTTTTTGCTAACTGTGTGAATTAACAAAGAAAGAGCAGTATACTAAAACATCTTTTTGCTAACTGTGTGAATTAACAAAGAAAGGGCAGTATACTAAAACATCTTTCTGCTTCCCGTGTCAATTAACAATGAAAGAGCAGTATAATGCACATTAATAATTGTAATTGAGGGGACTACTTATAATTGACTTAAGGTGGTCCGAATCAATTAAGTTCGCATAAATAACAAGGTTTAAATAGTAAGAGAAATAAATGTAGTAATTTTTTTTTGGATTCGGTAGGGGTGTTTATTATTCATCCGGCCGGGCAGTTTTTGTCTCTGTTTTGTTTTTGTTTTTTGTTTTTTTTGTTTTTTTTGTTTTTTTTGTTTTTTTTGTTTTTGTTTTTTTTTTTTTTGTTAGGGGTTTTGCTTAAATGTTTGTGGAATGAGGTGTGGATTACTATGTTTTATGTTGAGTATAGATTAAACTAGTGTGGCATGCTGTTTATTAGTAGTTGAGATTATTTGGTACATATCCTTATATCTTTAGTATGCTATATAGTGTCTTGCATTTAAACTAGTGTGGCATGATAGGTGTATTCTATTTGATGGTGTATAGTAGTTTCTTTTTGTATTTTACTGCATTTCAGTTTTTTACTTTGTTGTTACTTGTTTTGTTGTCGGTTGTTATAATTGTGCAGGCTTTAATTGTTGTTAGCTGTTCGATGGTCGGATGATTATTTGTTTTCCAAATCAGGAATTTTTGGTGGGGCGGGGGTGTGGGTGATGTTTCTGCGGGGATTGTGGGTGTGTGGTTTTGTATTGTGATTGATGTGGCTGGGTGTGGTGCTGAAGGTGTGTGGGTTGGTGTGCAGGGTTGTGTAGTGAGTAGTGTTGTTCTTTTTTCTGCAGGTAAGAAGCTTAAGGGGTTGCAGGGTGTTCCTGGGGTTGGCGTGGGGTGTGCGAGTGATGATGACTTCGTTTCGCCACCGTTGGCGTTCTTGGCTAGGTTGGAGCAAGACCCGCTGTGGAATGCTCCTGAAGATTCCGCTGGTGGTGGCGAGGAGCTTGTAGAAGAGGTTTCTGAATTTTCCACTGTTAAGTTTCGGGGGCAAACTGGTGTTCTTGTTGATGCTCTTCACGATTTGTCCGTACGGCAAAAAAATGATATTAGGGGTTTAGGATTTGGGCATTTGCTGGATTTCAAGGTGTCGGAGTGTCCGCCGAGTCTGGTGCATTGGCTCTTGACTAATTTTGATGGGCAGACGCGGACGTTTGACTTGGGGGGTGGTAGGGCCCTTCCTGTGTATGAGCGGGATGTGGAGTTGGTGTTGGGGTTTCCGCGGGGTGAAATTGAGATGGTTAAGCGTGAGCGGGTGCATATTAGTAATATGCTGAAACATTGGAGGGGATTATTTGGGAAGGGGGGTTATGCGGTGCCGTTGTCCATGGTTGCAGACAAGGTTATTGGTGAGGTTGATGGTGGCGATTGGTTTAAAAGGAATTTTTGTATGTTGGTACTGTCCACGTTGGTGTGTTGTATGAGCAATGGATATGCGAATCAAATGTATTTTGATTGGTTTGATGATGTCTCTCGGATCCATGAGTTAAATTGGTGCAAGCTTCTGCTAGATTTGTTGGTGGAGACTCAGGATGCTTGGGTTAATGGCCGTCATAAATGCTTTGTGGGTCCTGCGGAGTTTGTTGCGGTATTATTCTGTTTGTTATTTTTGTTTTTTTTTTTTTTAAATTTTGTTTTTACTGTTTTTTTGTGTTATTTTCCTTATTTTGTTGTGCACATGCGTTCAGGTGTTTTATGTGGACCGTGTGTTGCCGTTTGAGCGTTCTGTCCCACGGCTCGTGCCTTCGTTTCGCGGATGGACATCGGAGTTGCTTTTTGCGAGGGAGTCTGCGGAGATGGCTGCTGGTGGGTTTGGTCGTGGTGAGATCGAGCCTGCTGTTGTGGGGTTGAATGTGGACGGGGATGGCCCCGAGTATGGCCCTAAGGTTGGATTGCGCAGTTGTTTGTCTTGCACTCTTTTTTGTTTTAAATTTATTTAGTTCATTACTTTATGTGCGCAATGTTGGTCTTGGTTGTGCTTACAGAATTGGATTAGTCTGATGAAGGTTTGTATGCTAATGTATGTGTTCTTTTTGTGTTCACTCTAGACGTTTGAATGTGTTGTTGGGGAGGCTGCTGCTGTTGTTGCAAGTTCCGTTGCTAGCTTGGATCAGTTGTTCAAGATGGCACGTGGTAGGGTGGTGGAGGGGGAGGTTTGTCGCCGGTTTTTTGCTCCTATTCAGGCCCGGTTGCGTGCTTTGGATGTGGATTTTCGTGACATTTCTGAGGGTGGTGGTCTCAATGATATGCCTTCGTTTAGTCTTGGCTTAACTCAAGATTTTGCTGTGGCGGGTCTTGAGGGTGGAGGTGTTGATGCGGTTGTTGGGGCAGTTAACGAAAATGCGGCGGGGTTTGGCGGTGATGATTCTGGGCCGATTAATATTATTCCTTCGGTAAGGTTTTTTGTGCTTTGTGTTGTATGTGTTTGATTTTTGGCTTTGATTTTTGGTTTGTAATCTGGTGTGGGGTTTATATAAGTTGGGTGTGTGTTTCCTTGTAGGAGGGTGCGAATGTGTGCGAGGAACCAGCTGGTTTGGGGGCCTCGGGGCAGGTTTGTTGGTTTTTTTTTTTTTTTTTTTTTTTTTTTTTTTTTTTTTTTTTGTCAAATGCAGTTGGATGAGTTGCTCTTTTGTGTTTTTGGCTTTTCATCGTTGTGTGTTGGAGTATGCATGCTGGTGTGCTGGTGTATGCATGTTGGTGTGCTTGTCAGTGTGGTCTATATGTTGGTTTATGTGTGGTTGCTTTTTTTTTTTGTTTACATTTTTTCTATGCTATTGGTTGTAATATCTTTGGTTGTGTCTGTTGGGGTAGGGTATTGGAGATGTGATGGGTCCCGCTTCTCGTGGTGGGGGTCAAGGTACTGTGTGTGCTGGGTCTGTGTGTGCTGATAATGGTGGGGGGGCTGATGTTCATGGTGGGGGCACCGAATTGGCTACTGACCCTACCTCTGACGGTCCGGAGTTTTTAACGCCCACGGAGGTTTGTTTCGTTATTTTGTTCTTGCATTTTATGTTTTTCATATGTTATTGAGGGTGTGTGATTGTGGGTTGTACTACATGTGCTTTTTTGTCTCTTATTTTCTTATGGCTGGTTTGGTGGTTGTGTTTGGTCAGGGTAGTACATGTTACGGTTGTTTGTTGCGCAGGTGTGTGTTGGTGGTAGTGGTTTGACTGGCCCGACGGTTTCTGGGGGGCCGGGGTGTGCGGCTCCGGTTAAACCTGTTCATCCTAGTAAGTCTCCTGCTTCTCATATTCCGGTCGTTGCCTCTCGCCTGCAGTACCAGTCGTTCAGCGTTAGTGAGTCTGTTACGTTTCCTGTTCCTGATGTTCCAGAAGAGGCGTTAATTGTGAATTGGTTGCTTGGGGGTTCGATTGCTGACATGTTAGTTTTGTGTGTTTGTTTCTTTGTGTTCGGTGAGTCGCGTAGTTTGTATTTTTTCGTGATTGTTTGGTGTATTTGTTGCTGTAGGGGGCGTACTATATTTTCAGTCGGTGTTAGGTCTGCGACTTGGGAGAATTTGTTATCGCTTACTCCAGGGTCACAGGTTGATTGTGCAGTTATAGATGCTTGGGCTGCGGTGCTTAATTGTTTGGAGGCTACTAAGCCTCGGTCGGCCCCGTCACGCCTTTTTGTGTCTACGGCGACCACGGTTAGTTGTAGTTCCATATATTGCATTTCAATTTATATTTTGTGGGTTTTTTGGTTTACTATTGACAGGTTTTCTGTTGTGCTTGGTTGGTCGTTTTTGTTAGCTCATTACTGTTGTTGATACGTCCCGTCTATGGGATCGGAGGGTTGTGTGGTTTCGTGAGAGGTTGCTGATGGATCTTCGTTTATCACCGTATGATAATATTACGGAGATCGATATGGTATGATTGGTGTTGTTGAGTTTGGTGGTTTTTTGATGCTTTCATCTTCTCATATTTTGCGGGGATTCTATTTTCCTGCACAGTAATTTCACTTGATATTTAATGCCATTGTTGTGTGCAGATTTTTTTCCCGATTCAACGCCGTGGTCATTATTTCCTATTGTGCTTTGATTTTGTCCGTGGGCGATATGAGATTATTGATAATGACTCTCATCCCGGTGCGAAGGCAGACAAGTATGGTCCTTGTGTTGATGTGTTGGTTAGTGCTCTTTGTATTACTTCCAAATGATTTTGTTTATCTTGTTAATATTTTTTGTATCCTTTTGGGCTTGTATCAATTGCTATAGTTTGCATTTTTTTCTGATTTATGTTTTGTTTCTCCCAATTCTAGAAGGCAATCCTATTTGAGTTTTTTGAAGACATTTCTCCTTCAAGGGCTACTGTTTGTGCTGGTGTTGAATCCAAGCGGTTGCAGATGGGATGGCGTGATTCGCAGAATAAGATTGATTCTGGTATTTTCTTAATGCGGCACATGGGGACATTTGTTGGTCAGCGGGTTCGGGAGTGGGATTGTGGCTTAGTTAAGGGAGACAGTACGGTGTTGCATAAGTTACGGTTGCGGTACATGAATGAGTTGGTCACTTCGCGGTTTAATGTGATGAGGGAAGACAACCTCGCTCGCGCTTACCAGTCGATCTCAGTTCATCCCCCTTCCACTTAGTGCCGTTTTTTTACTTCTCTTATGTTGTGTTTTTTGGTGGTGCATGTAATGCGCACACTGTTTTTGTGTTCTGCGTTTACGGTGGTTTATTTTTGCTACTTGTGCTGGCCGCACATTTTTTGTATATTGCGCTTAACTCATGGTTTAGTTTCGTTGTTTTTTAATTTCTGACGTGGTGCGTATATTTATTATATTAATTTTACGCGCATTTTCACAGTCGTGTGTGCTTGGTCACTGTTCTGTGTACTTATATTTTGCTCCGTGTGTTCATCCTTATGTCGCATTAATTAATTCATTTCTGTTAGTGTGCACGGTGTGCTTTGTTAGTGTGTCGGTTACCTTCGTATGTGGTCGCTGTTGGATCTTTGTGCGTCTTCATAGTATCCTATGTGTGTGTTGCCGACTCGCGTTACTCAATTCATCTTTGTTACTGTGCGCGTCATAGTTTTGAAGTGTGCTCCCCGGGGCGGGGTTTTATGACTAATGGATGGTTGTGCGCATATAAGGTTCCCGCTGTGCGCGCATTCGTTCGTTTAGTGTTCGTTACTGTGCGCGTCATGCTGCTTTTGTGTTCGTTTTTTTTTACTTTTTATTTTTTTACCCAGAAAATAGTTATTTGCCCCCCATGCGTTGTTCATTGGCTGTTGGGTATTTTTATGTGCGTATATAGGCCATAAAAATGTTTGTTTCATAGAAGTATGTAAACATGGTTCGTAAATGTAAACATAATTATATTATTTCATCTGTTGTTGTATTCAACTACTACAATCTTTGTCTTATGCAAGTTTAGCTGGACAGGTGCGGCTGTTGTGCCCCGGGAGATCGCATATGTTGCATGTTCTTTCCTTTCTCTTTTGGTTGTTCGTGGCGGCTTTTTCTCGGTTGCTTTTGAGTCTCTTCCCACTCCCTTTGTTCTTTGCAACTTGGGGGGGTTTTATTTGTATGTCGCTCAGTTTGCTTGATCCGACTAGTCTTTCAAACACGGATTCATTGTTCAGACCCTCTTGTGTTTGTTGCCTTTCGTTTTCTAGGTCCTTCTTGAGTTGTTGCAATGTTGCCAACATTTGGTCCATCTTTTCTGGCCAACCATTCACTAATCCCATGCAATTGTAGAATTCATTCCATAGTTGATTTGCAACTTGTGTTGTTTCATTTGCCTTGGATTTGGGTGTTCTTTTTGCCCATGGGACATCATATATTGGGTGTGCACATGCGTCTCGTGTCCATCGTGGGACGATATAATGTTGTGGGATTTTTTCATACCCTTTTGTCTTCATCACTTGTAGCACATGCTTGCAGAGTAGACCGACACGATTGAATTTCTTGCATGCACACTCTATTAGCTTCGTGCTTGGGATTTCTGTTACTTCAAACAGTCTTCCACCAGTTTCTTCAACTTTGTAAGTCCATATGTCACCTACGTTATTCTTGTCGGTAATGTGGCAGTTGAAGCTGGCATCCCATACCTCTTGTTGGAATTCATAGAATATATTAACGGTGTAAACTCTAGCAGCGTGCTTTTCAATACTCAGAGGGGTTTTAGTTTCAGGGTACGAACCTTCATTTTCTGCGTTGAGTTTTGATTGTCTATGCCTTTGTTCTCCAATGGCACTGTTGTATTGTGCCATAAATTCTACCAAACTGCTATGGTGGTTTGTAAATTTACCGAAGTAGTTGTTTTCTGATTCTGACCGTGATGTGGTCCTTAGTAGACCTCCCATCGGTAAGTCATTGAAGTATGCAGGTATCCACGATGCACGTGCATCGTACAGTTGGGCAAACCACCGGTGTTCTTCAAGATTGTAGTTCCTCATTAGTGTTGTCCATCTCCGCTCAAATTCATCAACCGTTAATGTGTCATCCCATACGGTGTTATTTAGTTCCTTTTTGAAGTCTGCGTTGTGCAACAATGCAACCCCCACCTTCTCCCCAACTTTTGACATGATGTGCCACATACAGAATCTATGCCTTGTTGTTGGCATAATGTGTGGTACTACTATTTTTAGTGCTGGATCTTGGTCAGTTGTAGTACATCTTGGTGTGTATTCCATTGCAGTTTTGAACTTCGTGACTAGCCACTCATATGACTCTACATCTTCTTTCGCAATCAACCCGGCCCCGAATGTTATGCACCTTTTGTGGTTATCAACCCCTGTGAAAGGGACGAACACTAACTTGTACCTGCAGTGTAAACATGATTGTAATTAGTTTTAACCATACTTATAGTAAACTGCCTACTAATATTCTGCACGCTGGTGCGCACGGTGATTTTCAATGTTCAGCACGCCCTTTACCCCCTCTTTGCTGCTCACCGCGCACACCATGTATACGTCGTATGCTCAGTAGGCGGTCAAAATATTTAAAAGCTATTACGATGTCTACCTGTTTGTACTGTATGTGGCGTCGAATGACATGACATCGCCGTAATATGCATAATTCCTTCGACATTCGGCGTCCGCCCAGAATAACCTTGTTAATTGTGCTTCTTCGTCTATGTCGAAATCGAAATAGAAGTCCGGGTTATCCTCTTTTCTTTTGAACATGTCTTCTATCACCATTTGGGCGTCGGCCTCAGCTATATAGGCCAATAGGTCCCGTCTAAAATTGCAAAAGTCGATGCATGTTGCTCCTACATCTGTAAAACTCCCCACCATCTCTTTGAACAATCTGAAAGCTTTTGTGGGTCCGATATTTGCCTTTGCACAGTGAGCCAGAAAGGTTTTGTGGCCGATGTCAAGTTGCCTATTTATCTTTAAAAAAGCTTTAGCCGCATCTGAGCATAAACAATGGGTATGTCTTAGTTGGATTGCATGTACTTTATATCCGCCTTTGTCACTCTTTGTCATTACCATGCGTGCCTTACAGCCTATCCTGTTGGACACTCTCCGCCGTCTCTGCTTTACTGTTGAGCTATTGTTGGGTTCCTTCCGTTCAGCCTTGTAACCCTCGCGTGAGCACAGCATGTATTTTATTGACACTTGCCCGAATCGATTCTTGCGTTTTGATCCATGCCTAACATCAAATCCGGCAACCTTAGCATACTCCTCGTAGAATTGAATTCCGTCTTCAACTGTTTTGAATCGCTGTCCTTCGAACGGTGTTTTTTCTTTTGTTGTTGGTGGTGTCCAGTATTTTGTTCCATCGTCATGTATTTCCATTTCGCATTCCATTTCGTGCTGTGCACGGTGGGCGTCACCTGCTCAACATAACAATTATATATTTCAGTTTTCGTGGAGTAATGAATGATGTGCTTCACTGTGTAATTGTGGTGCAATTTGGGGTCTATGTTATGTGCATGCTTGGTTTAATACTGTGCGCCTGTGTGCCCGGCTTTCCATTTTCGTGTGCTCACATGTCCCAACATATGCACTGTAAGTACACATGTTTTTTTTATATGTGCACGTCACTATTTAACTGTGTGCTTAGTTCTTCATTTTCTGCAACTCTCGTGTGCTCTCAGTTTTAATCTAGTGTGCTTATGCAGGGTTTCCCGTAACTGCTATTTGCACTGGGTTTCCCCGTTAAATTTTCATATATTTCAGACAGTAATAGCTTCCTATTCACTAATACAGTTATGCTCATACTTTCAACAAATAACCACTGTAATGCAACCGTATATATTTCAAACAGTAATATCTTCTAATTCATGAATTCGCCCTTGATCATACCGTTCAATGACAAAGCACGTTAATGGAACCCTAAATATTTCAAACAGTAATAGCTTCTTACTCATGAATACACGTATGCTCATATTTTTCAAATTGTAAGCACGGTGTGCTTTGCTCTATAAATAATCGTATTTCGGGGTTTACCTGGGAATGCTGTGCACGGGCTGTTCTCCATGGCCGTCTCCTTCAAATTGCGCCGGTGTCTCTTCTTTTGCACGGTGGTATGGGTTTTGCTGGTTTTTGGTGCCGGGATGGGAGTGTTCTATTTGGAGGAGGATGTCTAATTATACTGTAATTAAACTCCTTTAATTTAGGCAGAGTAGTGTAATTGTGTTTTAACCTTAATTAGGATTTAATCAATTTGTCTGATTTGCCCTTTTCACATGCTATGTTAGGCTGGCGTGAATTATTGCATATTACATCCAAACCATTAATCTCATCTAATCTAATGGCTTATATTTGTCCACAGGTTTGTATTTTAATGGTGTTTGCATGTGAATGCAACCATATATATATATATATATATATATATATATATATATATATATATATATATATATATATATATATATATATATATATATATATATATATATATATATAGAGGGTACTTTTGTAGTGCACAATTTTGTTATGGTGTAAACGTGCGGATTAATACGGTGCACAGATGTGAATTATCTGATGGTTGGGAATAAACTACACCGTACATCCCGTGGACCGGCTTACATAGGGTAATTACATTTTGTGCAGTTTGAATCACCGATAGACCGCGGATATATTAACCCTGTGTGTGTCTTCCGCGCGGGCAGTTTGTGTATCGGCCGTGAGACCCTGGACATTGTGTTTTCGACGAGAGGGAGGACCTAGCACCCATCCGACGTCGGCGTGCATCACCCGAGCCACCACGACCATGAGTACGCATGTGCAACCATCCGGCGACTACGCGGAGCGTTGGCAGCGCCTCTCCCAAACCACCGCGACCATTAGTATGGATGTTGGTCTGCCTCCGGTGCAACCATCCGGCGACGGCGCGCAGCATTGGCGGCCCCTCACCCGAGCGCCCGCGACCATGAGTACGCATGCCGGACTGCCACCGATGCATTGGCGGCCCCTCACCGAGCGACCGCATCCTTTAATACGGACGTCGGACTGCCCGGCGACGGCGCGGAACATTGGCAGCCCCTCACCCAAGCCACCGCGACCATGAGTACGGAAGTTCGTCTGCCACCGGTGCAACCGTCCGTCGACGGCGAGGACCGTCCGATGCCATCAGGTACATGGGTGTTTCTCTCGTTATCCCATAATGACTAGGTCCCTGAGGTGGTAACTCTTATTCTGGAGTTCTCTCAGTGAATGTTTAAACAGCACTGGAACCACTGCCAAGTGTAAATCTATGTGTCAATAGCCAAGCCAAATTTCTAACTAAATCAACTCTATCGATCAACCATTCTGTCATTAATTGTTTGATACCCAATTGAAATAGCCACTTCTAAAGAATGTTGGCAGCTATATACAATTTCCCTGGATGGGATAAATGGAATTAGATTAGGAGGTGGTAGGATATGTAAGGCAGAGTGGCATGGATTTCGCAATTAAGAGCAATTTGGTGGGGAAAATACTAGCTATAAAGATGTCATTTACTTTGTTGTGGCTGTCAAAACTAGTTATAATTTTTTTTCCCAACTTATTGTGGCCGGAAAGAATTTATGCACTCAGTGAGTATTTGGTATATAGCAGTATGAAAGGATAATGCAGGATGGTTGGGTGAGAAAAAATAACAATAACGATTTTCACCAACTAGTAATAAGTATAATGTTAATTTAATTCAATGCATTTTCATCAATGCATTGAAGGGGTATGTAATGATGGTTAAGTGTAATACTGGATTGGTTTTGTAGGTACTTTCATTAATATTTAATGTTCTGTGTGTGCCGGTGCATGTAATGATGGTTAAGTGTAATACTTGATTGGTTTTGTAGGTACTCTCATAAATATTTAATGTTCTGTGTATGTATATGTAATGATGGTTAAGTGTAAATGCATTCTAGTTTGTTTCCCCCAGCTGTGTTAGTTTACTGCCTTCATACAGTAAACTCTGCGTTTACCCCCCAACTGTGTTCTTTTTTTTTTTTTTTTTATTATTATTATTATTTTTTTTTTACTGGCTTTCACGTATTCATGTGCAAAGTTTTTCCCTTTCCAAATATACTAAAATTTGTATGCATTTAGGTGTGCACTCATTCATTTGTTGCATTCAATTTAATTTGGTCGTCTCCCCTGTGTAAAATAAAGATTGTGATGCATTATACTGCTGTACCCTATATTGAGAGATATGAGTTTGGTGTTTGAGACGGAGTGGTCACTTCCGGACCTCGGTTTAAGAGTGGTATGCGCAAAAATAATACACTAATTCCCATTGCTTTTTGGACTAGTTATTCTGCTTGCATCATTGCAATCTTATAATGTTATTTTTTTGATATCGTGACTAGTTATTATTTTTTTTTTTGTTTTATTTATTTATTTATTTTGTTTCTCGCAGGGGTGGACGAGACAGAGAACGGTAGCCAGGATGTGTATGCCACCATACCAGTCAAGTATTGGTGGCCTACTGTGGATAGTGGTGTTACCCCGTTCGTTGGGTGTCGCTTCAAATCACTAACCGAAGGTGTTCAATTCTATATGACCTATGCAAGGACATGTGGGTTTTCTGTGAGACATGGGTCCCTACAGCAAGGCCGCGGTGGCCAAATTACTATGCGTTATTTAGTTTGTAGCCGGGAGGGAGTCAAGAGTGGCGGTAGGAGCAAATCTGCCCTCGCGGATGGTGGCGGCAGTGGTAAGAGCATCCAACGTAGGAAACGCGTGGTGAATAGAGTTAGGTGCAACGCTAGGATTTGCCTGAAACAGGACAACATTGGGGAATTTAAGGTGTCTACTTTTGTTGAGGAACACACCCATAGCATGTCTCCGAGCCTTCAAAGCTATTCATGCGGATCAATCGGAAGCTAGATGTAGCACAACAATCATTCCTTGCAAATTGTGTTAAGGCTAATGTTGGTGGTTCTAAAAGTTTTCAGTTATGCAGGGAAGCAGCAGGGTCATTTGTTGATGTTGGTGCAACATATATGGAGTTTCATAATTTCAAACGCGACATTCAAACATATGTTGATGAAAAGGATGGAGAGATGATTATTGCCACGTTTCGGCAGAAGCGTGAGAACTGCGAAGACTTTTTCTTCGATTACCATCTTGATGACGGAAACCACGTTGCGCGTCTTTTTGGGGCTGACCACAGTGGTCGCCAAAGTTTCGCGAGCTTTGGTGATGTGATTTCCTTCGATGCAACCTACGGAACGAACAGGTACAATGTCACGTTTTGGTTAACACCTTTCAATTTGGTGATGTTGGTTCAGATCTCGGTGGGTGCTCTACGTCGGATTGTACACAGGCAGCTACTCCAGTTGAGGTTGGTTCTTTTTTGGTTCGTGTTTTTTCTTAAATTTAAGTAGTGTGCTTGTTCGTGTTTGTACGTGTGCACTTTAGATCAAGCTGGTTTTTTTTTTTTTTTTTTGGTAGTTTTGGTTGGGTTTATTTGCTTTTGAGTGTTGGTAGTTGGGCATATCTTTTGTATTTGTTTGTTATTTTAGTTGTTGGTATAGATCTTTGTAGCAGTTGTGATCGGGCGTCATGTATTTATTATTTGGGGGTTGTGTGCTTTTTCGTGTGTTGTACGTGTGCACGTTAGTAGTTTTTAGGTATTAGTACTGCTTTGTTTTATTACGTATGTGGGGTGTGTTTGGTGTTTCCCCCCCTCATTTTGTTGTTGCATGGCAGGAGTGTCTTAAAGCGGCTATTGTTTCTGAGCCCCCGTTGTCTGAAGGTCCGGGGTGTGCGGCTCCGGTTAAAGCGCTTCGTCCCGTTATCCCTCCCGGGGCTGTCCCCCCAGTTGTTGTTGCCCCTCTTCAGTATGAGCCAGCTGCCTCTCGCGAAGATGTTGCGTTTCCCATGCCTAACCTTCCAGAGGATGCATTAATAGTGAATTGGTTGTTGGGTGGTTCTCCTGCTGACATGTTAGTTTTCCTGTTTTGTTTGTTTTGGTGGTTTGCATTTTTGGTTTATTGTTTGTATTTACCGTTTGATTATGTTAGGGGTGAATCTATTTTTTGTGTCGGTAGACGAACTGTGTCATGGGAGGGTCTGTTGTCGCTGACTCCGGGTTCTGAGGTTGACGTGGCCGTTATAGATGCATGGGCGGCTGTTCTAAATCGTCGTGAGGTGACTAAGGCTCGTGCTGCACCGTCACGCCTTTTTGCTTCTACGTTCACGACGGTTTGTTTTAATTCCTTCATTTCCCTTTTCGGTGGTGTTTTTGTGTTTCTTGTTTTTGTATTTGTTGGTTTATGTGTTTTTGTTTTTGTCGGGCTTGTAGTTGAATACGGTTGTTGATACTTCCCACCCCCCGAGAAGAGGCTCGCTTGGTTCACTGAGCGGTTGTTGATGGATTTGGAGCTATCGCCCTATGACGATATTTCTGAAGTTGACATGGTATGGTCGTTGTTTGTGCACGCATCATGTTGTATTGTGCACGCTTACCTGTTGTGCTAGGCAGGTTACAGTTACGTGCATAGATAGACTGCACCCTTATGTTTGCGTGTGTTGTGTGCAGCTGTTTTTCCCAATTCTGCGTCGGGGCCATTTTTTCTTGCTTTGTGTTGATTTCCCACGGTTTCGCTATGTCATCATTGACAATGATTCGAATCCCAGATCAAAGGCCGAGAAATATGGGGACTGTGTTAAGGATTTGGTGAGTGTGTCTCTCTCTGAACCCCTTTCCCTATGTTATTCTGTTTATGGAATTCTTTTATCCGTTGGTTTTTGAATTGGTTTTTGAATGGATATTATATTTTTTGTGTTTCAGATGGGGACGCTTTCCCGATTCTATGAGGTTCGCTCTCCTTCTCGGTCTGCTACTTGTGTTTGTGTTGAGGCGAAGCGTTTGCAAATGTCTTGGCGGGATTCGAAGAACAAGATTGATTGCGGGGTTTTTCTCATGCGTCATATGGAGACATATGTTGGCCAGCGTGTTCGTGATTGGGATTGCGGTTTATTGAAGGGGGACACTACTACTTTGCATAAGCTTAGGTTACGTTACATGTCGGAGATTGTAGTTTCGGAGTTTAACGTGCACAGGCAGCGTAATCTTTCGCGAGCGTACCAGTCCATTTTGGCTCCTCTGCCCTCTGTCTAGACTTGTTGATTATTTAGGTTGTAATTGTTGGCTTTTTGGTATTCTGTGCACTCCGTTATTTATTACTGTGCGCGGTTTTTGGCGTTGGGATGTTTGTGTTTTACTTGACGTTCTGTTGGATGTTTATGGTGGTACAGTGGACCACACATGGGTTCTTTTGGTTTTGTTTATATAAAACGGTTATTACTGTAGCTTCGTATTACGCCTTGTCTCCTCTCCAATTTTAGTTTGTGTGCATGTATGTGGCTACACGTGAGCGCAGTCGTGTGATATTAACTTTTGCCTCGTCTTTGTATTATTTTTGGTTCCAGCCCGTGTCCTATACACTCCTTTAAGGGGGTGTGCGCGTAGTATTCCTTACGTGTGCTTTGCGAACTAACGTTAAGATCTATCATGATTTCAGTTCACGGTAATTGGCGGTGTGTTTTTCTCTTACATGTGTGTAATGTTCTGTTACCATATGTGCGGTACGGCTTGGTTTGCGGGTTTTTTTGTTTTTCCAGATGGGCATGTGTGCGCGTGCTTGCAGTGCCAGCGTGCGTAGGGATTTCGTGGTAATGTTTTTTTAATTATTTCTAAGCGTGGTTCACGGTAATGGGCGTACTGTTGTTTACTTTCATGTGTGCACTGTGTGGAACCATGTGTGCGATACGGTGTTTTTGCTGTTGTAGCTTTCTTTTCCCTTTTCGAGATGTGTGCGTGTCCTTGTGTGTCTGTGTGCTTCCTTTTTTTTTATTTTATTCGGTTGTGTGCACACCTTTGGTGGGATGCGTGCATTGGGTGTATGCTTGTGTCCTAAAACTTTTAATATGCAATGTTCACTTAAAAACACAAAGTACGCTGCAACGATTTTGGTTCGTAATTATAAATTGCATTCAACAATATTTTTGGAATAAATAGTACTCTAAGCTTCGTCCGGTGCTACCTTTTCTGGACAGGTGCGGCTGTTGTGGCCTGGGAGGTCGCATATATTGCATGTCCTCTCTTTTTTCTTTTGGGTCTTTGTGATTGCTTTCTCTTTGTTGCTTTTGAGTCTCTTCCCACTTCCTTTGTTCTTTGCGACCTTTGGTGGTTTTATTTGTATGTCTCCTGGCTTGCTTGATCCTAGTAGTGTTTCGAACATAGTTTCGGTGTTTCCACTGTCGAGTGGTTGTTGCCGCTCCTTTTGTAGGTCTTGCTTCAGTTGTTGCAAGGTTGCTAGCATTTGGTCCATTTTGTTAGGCCAACCACTAACTAATCCCATGCAGTTGTAGAATTCGCTCCAAAGTTGATTGGCTACTCTTGATGATTCATTTGTGGTGGGGATATTGGTAGTTTTTGCCCACGGCACATCGTGTATTGGGTGTGCACATGCGTCTCTTCTCCATCGTGGAACTAAATACCTTTCTGGGATTGATTCGTACCCTGTTGCCTTCATAACTGCTAGTACGTGTTTGCATAGTATACCAACACGGGTGAATTTCTTGCATGCACACTCTATTTTCGTCTCGTTCGGAGCTTCGGTTACTTCATACATTTTTCCTCCCGTTTCCTCAACTTTGTAAGTTCGTATGTCACCTACGGGTTTGTCGGTGATGTGGCACGTGAAACTGCCTTCCCATACCTCTTCTTGGAATTCATAGAATACGTTGATTGTGTACACTTTAGCAGCGTGCTTCTCAATACTCAAAGGGGTTTTAGTTTCAGGGTATGAACCTTCATTCTCTGCGATTAGTCGTTTTTGCTTATGACGCTGCTCTCTGATGGCACTGTTGAATTGTGCTATAAATTCTACCAAGCTGCTGTGGTTGTTTGTAAATTTACCAAAATAGCTGTTTTCTGATTCTGACCGTGAAGTTGTCCTGAGGAGTCCTCCCATTTCTATGTCATTGAAGTACGCTGGTATCCATAACGCACGTGCTTCATACAATTGGGCAAACCATCTGTGTTCCTCAAGTTGGTAGTCTTTTATAAGTGTGTCCCATTTTCTCTCGAATTCATCAACCGTCAATGTGTCATCCCATACGGTACTATTTAGCACCTTCTTGAAGTCGGTGTTATGCCACAATGCAACCCCTACCTTCTCCCCTACTTTTGTCATAATGTGCCACATACAGAACCTGTGCCTAGTTGTTGGCATAGCTTGTGGCATTACTATCTTTAGCGCTGGATCTTGGTCAGTTATCGTGCATCTTGGGGTGTATTCCATTGCGGTTTTAAACTTCTATACTAGCCACTCGTATTACTCTACGTCTTCTTTTGCAATTAGTCCCGCACCAAACGTAATGCATCTCTTGTGATTATCCACTCCGGTGAATGGTACGAAAAATAACTTGTACCTGCAATGTAAGCATGGTTGGAATTAGTTGTGCGCACATATCTTTGTGGGTGTGCTATTGGTGGGTGGCACGCTGGTGCGCACACTATTTATTACTGTGCGCACACAGGTAGATTAGTAAATCACAGTATACCGATGCGCACACATTATTTCCTATCATGCACAGTCGACGCAAAATATGCATAACTTATTTAGAGTCGTACTTGTTCGTGCTGTACGTAGCATCGAATGACATCACATCGCCGAAGCAAGCACTGCGTCTGCCCAGAATAACCTAGATAATTGAGCTTCTTCGTCTATATCGAAATCGAAATAGAAGTCCGGATTTTCTTCTTTTCTTTTGAACATGTCTTCAATCACCATTTGGGCGTCTGCCTCAGCTATGTACGCTAATAGGTCACGCCTAAAATTGCAGAAGTCGATGCATGTTGCTCCTATATCCGTAAACCCTCCCACCATTTCTTTGAATAGTCTGAAAGCTTTAGTTGGGCCGATGTTTGCCTTTGCACAGTGTGCCAAAAAAGTTTTGTGGCCGATGTCTAATTGCCGATTTATCTTTAAGAAAGGTTTTCCCTGTTCTGAGCATAGGCAATGTGTGTGTTGGAGCACGAGTGCGTGGACTTTGTATCCTCCAGTGTCGCACTTTGTCATTACCATACGTGCTTTACACCCTATCCTGTTTGACACTCTCCTTCGTCTCTTTCGTACTTTTGAGTCGTTGTTGGTGTCTTTCCTTTCGGCCTTGTACCCCTCTCTTGAGCACAACATGTACTTAATTGATACTTCTCCCATTCTATTTCTACGTTTTGAGCCGTGTCTAACGTCAAATCCCGCCTCCTTAGCGTATACTATGTAGAAATCAATCCCGGCCTCCACTGTTTCGAATTGCTGTCCTTCGTATGGGGTCTTCTCTTTTTCGGTTGCCGGTCTCTAGTATTCGGACCGTCTGCGCCTATTTCCATTTGACATTCGTGTATTCCGTGTCCGCAATTATCTTCACCTGTTCATCACACCAAATACAGTTTAGAAGTGTTCGTCAGTTGTTAATTTCATTATATAGCATTAACGTTGTGTGGAGTGTTGAATACGTTATGGGTGTCTGATGTGTGCTCGGTTTGGTACAATTGTGTGCGTGTTTTGCCAGTCACATTCCCCGTGACTGTAAGTATAGTTGTTTCATTTTCATGAGTCATTTTTAATCATGCTTCGGTCTGGTTATGAATTGTGCATGGCCGCACCTAGAAGCGTGCATGTGGGTATGTGTGTTACTTTTGCCCAAGCCGTTGGTGTACGTTATTACTACTGGTGTATTATGTGTGCGCTGTACTATCTGTGCGTGTGCTTCCTACCTTACTGTCATTTTTCCACATCAACCAGTTAGTGTCCATGCCATGTTCATTATTAGGTTTTTCAACTTCATTTTCTGGAGGCGTATTTAAACATGCCACGGTGTGATTATGAAATTGTGCATGTGCGTACCTCGAAGCGTGCACGTGTGTATGTGTGTTAATTTTGCCCAGGCCTTTGGTGTACGTTAATGCAACTGGTGTATTATGTGTGCGTTGTTCTATCTGTGCGTGTGCTTCCTACCGTCCTTTCATATTTTCCCAAAAACCAGTCACTGTCCATGCTATGTACATTATTAGGGTTTTCATCTACTCCTACTGTACACAGTTACAGGCTTACAGCAGTGCACTATAATCATATTCACAGAATGGGCTATGCAATGTCTATTCGTATTCTATGCTTCACCTATTCTAATGATGAACAAAATAATTACCTGTTTGTGTTGGTGATGTGTAATCCATTGTTGAATCTGCTTCTTCACGGTCGTTGTTTGCCGTTGGTGCCGCTGATGTCGGAGCTTCATTCCCGTACGTATCTTGATGTTGCCTTGGGGGTAGTTTCTCGCTGGGTTTTAGAGACTTGGAATGACGTGTAGTGTGCTGTGTGATTCATTCCAATCCAATTATACTTAAATTAGTCTTGTTAATTTAGGTTAAATATCTAAATCCTATTTTTACCTAAATTAATACTCCCATCCATTGTCTTAATTACCCTTGTAATATTTGATTGGGATTCTATTTTATTTTTTTTTCACAATAATCTAATCCCTTAATCTAATCTAATCTAATGGTCCATATTAGTCCATAGGTTTGTATTTTAAGGGTGTTTTCACTTGAATGGGACTATATATATATATATATATATATATATATATATATATATATATATATATATATATATATATATATATATATATATATATATATATATATATATATATATATTATTATTATTATTATTATTATTTAAATTCCTTTCTTCTTACGCCCAGCCTACGCTCTTCTCCTCTGCCTTGCCACCGCCAACCAGACACTATCACACCACTCCGACTCGCCACCTCGCAGCTTCATCTTCAAGCTTCAATCGTTTCCAGCTGCCCAGCTTCGTTCAACCGTTGCCGGCTCCATCATCACCCTTAGGCTTCAGGTTCGTACTTCATACTCCGTCTATAAATCTTAATTTGTTCAATTCTTTTCCCAGAGTTTTGAGTTTTGAACTTATCCAGCAATCTTATTATGTTTTTTCCCTAATTTACCTATATTTTTTTTTTTGTTGCAAATTTTGCCCTAATTCTCTATGTAATTGATTAAATTGAATATCCAATGTTTGGTAATTTGGGTATGTCATATGTGATCAAATTTGTTGGAATTTTTGATGTTTGGTGGCTCTCTTTGATCAAATTTGGGAAATTTTCTTTTGATGTGGTTCAATGTGTTTCCGGTTTAAATAAGGTGGAGCAGTGTTCAAATGTTTCAAAATGCTCCACATCTTGAAAAATGCAAGCAAATTAATGTTTGCTGTGGTACCTTATTTTGTATTAGCTTGGATGTTTACACTGTAAAGCTAAAGTGGATATTATGTGAATTCCTTTCTGTGGTCCTCTAGCACTATTGCTCTTGAGCTCTACTTTGATAATTCTCTTTGGTTCTCTCTTTGACAATGCCTGATACTGCACGAATGATTCAATGTTTTTCTGCACTAGTGGTTTGTTTATAGCCTCCGCTAACAGTAATGTTGAGCATATAACCATTAATGTGCAATCCAACTATCAGCTTAGGCTTTTAGTCGAGATGGAGCACATGCTTCAATTGTGAGAACTGAGAAGTGTGACATTTTTGTGGCAATTGTTATATGGTCTCAGTTTTGAATGCCACATTTGGTAGATTATCCTTTCTTAAATACTTGATTAATGATTAAAGATTAGAGATTGTTTAGTGTTAAAGATTATAGATTGTCTAGTGTTTTTTTCGCCCCCACTCAAAAGAAATTCTGGAGGGTGTGGTTGAGTGGAGGAGACTCATCCATCCTCAACCAAAGGTTAAGGGTTCAATTCTTGGCTTTGTGTATGGAGCAGCCTTAAATCTCCAGGCCGCCTACAATCAACGCTGGAAACCCTGGGTATACCCAAAAAATTAAATAATAACGAAGATAGACATTTCTAACGCTTTCTGTTTTATTTAAATTTTCATATACCAGATGGCAAACAACGCAAAGGCACTTTTGGTTCTTGATACATCAATGTTGAACCATGTGGGTCAAAACAATTCCTCTGCATTTGCAAACCAGGGAATGCAAAATGGAATTTTAGACTCACCTGCTTACAAAGCGAAGGTTATATCATTTGATTATAACCCAAAGTTGTTTTTTTTATTGGGTGGAGTTGTTGTTTTAAGATCAATCAATCCTTATAACTGTATTGCAACCAAATACTGCAGATATGTCAGGATGCTTTACAGGAGACTGGTCTGAGAGTCAAACAACATGAAGAAAATATGAAATTCTTAAAGACAAAGAAGAACAGATTGGATGATTCAATTATAGATCTGCAAGGTGGTTCTCTTTACTAAATATGAAAAATATCTGGTCTTCCTTATTTATAACAAAAGAAATGCACTAAAGAGAAATTTTATTGTGAAGAATATTCAATTTCTCTAAGCAACTGTATTATACTAAAATTAAAAAAAAAAAAAAAAAAAAAAAATATATATATATATATATATATATATATATATATATATATATATATATATATATATATATATATATATATAATTTTTGAAATGATATCTGCTCCCAGTTGCACTTGGCAAACATTACTCAGCAGCTGCACCTAAAATTAAAAATGATGAAGATGCTTGGAGTGAGGAGGAGACAGTTAAACAGATTATGAGGAGTGGGAGATCTGCGGCTGCAGTTCTGTGCCATCTGAAAACCAATCATGGAACTCAGGCTTGTAATATTCCATTATGAAATGATGTGCTTGGTATCGTTGCTACACTTGGAAGAGTTGAAGATGATAACCTCAGCAGGTTAGGTTTACTTTTTTAGTTTTTTGTTGCTGCATCCATTATCTGACTTACATTATTAGTTCAATTATTCTATCCATTGTATTTGCAAAATCATTATGACTGTTATATAGACCATGTGACATATATGAGCCTGGGTTAGTGGATTTTAGTATTCATTTAGATTGATGAAACTTTTGACTTCCATATGCAAGAAGCAAGTTAGTTGAAGAGTTAGGGCATAGTCACAGTCGTTCAGTATTATGGCTGAAAATTTTCCTTAAATATCTGAAAATCAGGATTCTCTCGGATTATTTGGGGTTGGAAACCATGTTAACAGTTGTTTGCAAGACCTATGATGGTGTTTTAGCACTGGAAACATATGACAAAGAAGGCTTAATAAATAAAAACTCTGGCCTTCATGGACTAGGAGCATCTATTGGGCAGCCTTTGGATGGCAGGTTTCTTGTCATCTGCCTTGAAAACTTAAGGTTTGGAGTGAATATGACGTTATGTTTT